TGCTATGGAACCTAAGGAACACAGAATAAATAACTTAGCGAATGAAAATGTTAAAAATCAGAGGTAAATTTCAAGCAAAAATTTTACAGATTTAAGCCCGGTCAAATTGCTCTTGATGGGTTGGCGTATGAGCGCTCTTCCAGTTCTAGAAACATTTAAAATTTGAGTGAGGATAACGTTTATATTTAGTTTTGGTACTAGTACCCCAGAACTAGATCTTGATACATATATATAAGCGGCGAATGCTTCAATTCCAGCAACGAATATAATCGTACTTTTACTATTGTCTTTATGTTAAAGAAAATTTTTAAATAAATTAAAAAATTCGAGCATGTTTTAGCACTACAGCCATCTGTCCTCTCATAAAGGGAACACAAATTCTGGACTAACAAATTTGTGGTTAGCTCTTAGCACATATCATCCAACTAGTCAGGCGGGTGGCGAAGACCATATGCGATGTCGTAGCGCTCTCTGCGTCTGTCCCATTGCTGCCGTAAAGCCTCATTTTGTTTAGGTGGTGAGTCATGCGACACAGAGCACACAGCTCAGCTAGCTGGGGCAGCCCAAAGAGATGGATAGGTGGGGACGAAACAGCAAGGCAAACATGCATAAAAAAGTTTTATAATAAAATTATTTGTTTGGGCCCAAATAGACAAGTTTTCAGCCATACATTTCATTTGTGCGAAATGTCACTCTGGGGCATACTTTTGCCAACTGAAGAACAGCAGCAGCAGCAGCAGCAGCAGCAGCAGCAAGGACACATGTTTTGGCAAATCTGCAAGTGAGCGTCAGGACACGCAGGATTGCCAGCCATAAAGGCAGCCGGCTAGTCGTCAATGGCAGATCTCAGGCAATTAAACATGGCCTGGCTAAAAATTTGCATTTAAGTGAAAAATGCAAAATAAAAAATTAAATGGAAATAAAAAAGCATTGCATTTCTGTTGGCGCTTTTCATTAGCCAGTCCCCAAGGAGAAACAGCAGCAATGGCAGCTGCTCCTTCGGCTCCTGCTGTTGTCTGGCACCCAAAGTGACTTTCAATGTAAACGTCAGCGCTTTGTGCTGTTGACATTTGTGCGCCCAGACGACAACGACGTTGACGTCGTCGCCATCGTCGTCGACGGCGAGGGCAACAATTTGCGATAAACATCTCAGCGGCATGCAAATCCCTTTTAGGAATGCCACCAGGCGCAGAAGTACACTTCAGCATTTCGAGAGGCGCGGCACAAAGCAAAAGTAGCTGCAGCTGTATGCTCGCTGTGGCATCCTTTTCGACTCGGCATTAAACAACACTGGCAGCATTAACATCAACTTCAGATTGCACTTGAATCGAGTAGACAGTCATGAATGCAAAGCTCAACGTACTAGCAATCAAATTAAATATATATGTTATTCATATACATATAGATCACAGATGATTTCAAATAGTATCTGAAAGAAGCCTCATTTAAGCACGCTTATTGACATGCCGAGTGCAGGACTTAACTGCACAACAGATAGCTGAAAGAAAGATACCATAGATAGAGCTTACGAGTTTGATTTTAAAACCAAATGCTAAATTTTAGTCACAGGATAAAATAAAACAGTTTTTTCCAAGTGGCTTGAAAATAAAGCACTGACATTTGGTGAACTATGTTTAACGTATTTATCAGCTAGTTGGCAATGGTCGTGTTGGCTCAAAGATTCCACGTGGCGGCGCTGGAGCTGCAGACAGCAGCTTAATAGCTAAGCAACATTTGTTCCAGATCATGTGGACCTGTGAATTCGACCTTTATATGAGAAACATTTGTATGTACATTACTCACAAAATTTGTTTTTACAACTATTATTTTGGATCGATTTTTACTATCCACTGTATCTTGATTCCTTGTGTGAAAATTTAGTGATACACATTTTTGCAATGGCACCACATGTCGTACACGGTTCGCTTGTTACGGCTATCAGACGTTGCTGCCTGCGCCGACGCGGCCCTAGCCTCAGAGAAACTGGGATACCGTGTCTGAGGTCGCTTGGGGGCTGTCCGCTTTTTAGCTCCCCAACCGTTAAGCATCTTCTTTGGAACCTTTATCAGAGGAAATTCATTGGAAAATTCGGAACTATGAGAATAATGCGTTTTTGGTGGAAGTTGACTGAGGTGCTTCCGGCGCTTGATCTTTGGTGGTACCATCACAACGCTATATTTGGGCCTTTCCTTTGGCTCATAATCCACCCAGTAAACTTGGTAATCACGATCTAAACCACGGGATTTATAGAAAACCTCATCCAGGCGCGGTGGGTCAAAATTTTGTTCCTCACTATCGTGCCCCTTGGACATGTTAGAAACGGGGCACTCTAGACTCGGCTCATCATCGGTTTCCGACTTCATGGGCCGGAACCTCCTATTGACCACCCAGTGCGCAGATCTTGTTGGGAATAGGGCGTGTAATTTGGAACTAATCATGCGATGGGTCGTCTCCATCTTTATACTTTGGCAAATTTTCAGAAGTGGTCGGAAAACGGCTGTCGAGCAGATACTTAAATTTTTAAAATTCATTGTGAAAAAGGAAAAAAAAAACTTAGAAATTTGTTCTGATTGGCTCGACAACACCTTAAAACTAATGATTTCGTTCCGTAAGAAAAGGTTAGTGGCTTCGCAGAGTGACAGTAATATCAACGCACATGTAGATGGTTCAGATTGTTGAGTTCTCAAATAATATACATGTATGTAAATGTATATATATATATTTATTTATTTATTTATTTATATATATATAACGTTAAGAAAACCTTCATAGACGCGTACATAGATGTTTCTTTCAAAATAAAGTTATGTGGTATATTTATATATATTTAAATACTTTTATATATTTATATTTATTATTTTTATTTATTTATATATTTATATAAGTGGTAAATTCAACATCAAAGACTTACTTAATTTGTATTTAAAATGCTCATTAGAGAAGCCAACATTTCATTTTATTATTTCGGCTGCATTTTTAACAGCTCAACAAATAGTGGTAAGCATACAAAGTAAATAATAATAAAAAAAATAATTACAATACTTAAGTGTAAAACTCAGTTTGGTATTTGAAATGCATTCAAAAAGTTGATGCAGAATTTCGGACCGGGCGCTGGCACAGCTGAAGTGCAATGCAGCCAGCAAAAGGCAACGCTGAGGCACGCTGAGTTCTGGCGAAAGTTTCAACAGCAAACAATAAACAAAACGCACTAATTAATTAGTGAGTGGGCATTTGTGCCCTCTGGGCCAATAGATGCTTACCCGTTTGCCAGCACGGCCAAGTGCCGGGGTGCGAATTTTCTTTTTGTCCAGTTTCATTTTGGCAAACAACAACTTTATGAGAGATTGTTTTTTCAGAAGGCATGGCTGCTGCTGGTTTTTTCTGAGCTGGTAGCTGCAATTTTTCGTTGGCCAAATTGGGCCCTGGGCAGCTGCCTTGAAATCGAAACAGCCAAAAGATTGCGCCGCCAAATTGTTAACAGCAATTGACCCAATTTTATGGCCCTGCACTCATGCATATCTCGCATGAGCTGGACCAAAGGCAGTGCGAATGGCGGAGCCCGTTAAATGTCCAGGCAGCGCGTGCAACATGGCGTATACTTATTGGATTTTTTTGCACTTTTTTCCCACTTCTTCAGAATTGGTTTCGCTTTCGTTTTTTTCGGCCTCTTTTATTTGTTTGTTTTTATTTTTGTTTATTTTTTTTTTTTTGATGTGCGCAGCAAACCAGAAAACGCATGAACCTGGATGAGAATACCGTTATGTTTACATTTTACCGGATTTTTATTTTTATTTTTCTTTTATTGCTGTGTCGAGCCTTGAAGCTTCTCAGCATATGCTAACCAATTAAACAGCAATGTCCTATATGCGAGTACAAGCAACCAATGAAGCATCGATAATGCTCTCAATTGATTTGCTTGACAAAGTCCTTAATCTGTGAATTAAAACCAATGCATGATGAAATCAGAAAATGAAAGAATTTATCCAAAAGCTGGCTAAATACCTAACTATATACCGAACTTGATGACTAGCCTTTAAAAAGTGTTCGCTATGGGCAAACAATTTATAGATTCAATGGAAAGTTATCGATTATATGTATCAAATTTGATCTGTACGTGGTATATTTAACATTAACTAACTAAAATGTTGTGTGTCTGATCGTTGCTCAGCAGCTCTTATATACGATCTATATTTAAGCTCGTCAGTCCAACAGATAAACCTATTGTGACTTTTTGTATCAATGGCATTAATTAAGCATGGGAGTATGCAAAAGACAGACTAACTGCTATAAAGTATTAAGTAATGTGTGTGTTTTATAAGGGAATAATATAGTATCGTCCTTATTTGGCTGGTAATGCGAGTGCTTTTAGGGTTTCTCATTAAATTGCTCGTCTGCCGTTTGAATAAATAATGCAGTAAATTAAGTAACTAGAGCTCAGTACTCAAAATTCACATAAAGTACAAATGTACTTGGCACTTTCCTAGACGCACATGCACTCCGGAGCGAGGTAGACTGAGTGGCAGTGGGAGGAGCTGTAGACGAAGTCGTGTGCGGGACATTGGAATGATTTCATTTACTTGCAATCAATGAAATTGCACTGATGCAATTTCGCTGGGCCAAAATAAACAACAACTGGAATGGGAAATGGCAAAAGTAACAGTTGCAGTAAAAGCAACTTGCAACTTGCCACTGTTGCAGGAATGCGGGTGCGGGTCGATGCTGTCTGTCTGTCGGTCTGTCTGACGGTCTGTCTGTTCGTCTGTCCCAACAGCACCCAGCGCGACGTCAATGTTTGGGTCTCGCGGTCTGCAGCCAGGAATTTCTCATATTGCAACCAGGACATTTCTGGCTAGCAGCACGTAACACCCGGAGGGACGCCGGAACCAGGAGCAGACCACACGCAGCGGCTGCTCCAACTGCTGCCTTATGGCTGTCTTATGCTGATAGTTCACGCGCTGCCATTGAAGTTAAGATTGGGGGATTGGTTGTGACAGCCAGCAGAGAGATTTGAGAAAAATGTCAGCTTGCTTCGAATCGAAAAATGAGCAGGAAACGTAGCCAGGGTAGGTGAGTGCACGTTAGCGGTGCGTTGAAACACTCAACTAACCATCAGCTTAATATAACCGCAGTCGAGGGCGTGCGACGCATCGTGCCTCGTACGAGGAGGAAGTTGAGAGCTCGCCACAGGCAATGACTGTATCGACGACTGCCGCTGAGATGGTACCTACGGATGCGGAGGACCGCAGCACTAGCGAACGCCAACAGGAGCTGCCTATGATTCCGCCAACGTCTGTTATCCTGGTGGCTGCAGCGACACCTACTGAAATTAATGATGCGGAGGCCAACACCGATCCGGTGGGCAATGCTAAAAGAGGCGTCAATGATAACGCTAAAGGCGCACAAAGGATAGTTCATAGTCAGGGCGTTCAAACAAGGAGATCCTCTTCCATCTCCGATTTCTACGATAGAGAAGAGCCGCTAATCACTAACAAGACTAAGGTATACAAAAAAAGTAAGTTTCTTATATTTCCGAATTTGTGGGGAATACTTCATTTGAAAGCCGTTTAGAGATGCACTTGAATACTTTGGTTACGCTGCTCCACCGGAATGAAATGTTTTACTTACGTTCTTTGTTAATAATTCTTTATTTTCATTGCATTTAGGAGCTGCAATACCAAATCCTGCTGCTAATGAATCGGATGATTCGATCTTGGGCCAAGCCGCTGCCCCTTTCGGACCAAACAACGCATACACACTGCCCACAAACGATGTGACAGATTCGCCCAGATCCGATTCATCGGACAGGGCAAAGATATCCCAGAGTACCAGCAGCGTTAATTACACCAGCAGCGGCACGATAATTATCACCGAAGGGGAATTGATGGAGCTCGATGCAATCGATTTTCAGCTTGGGAATCTGCCTCCACGCTTTAGACTGCAGTCTGGCCTGGCCTTCGTAAGTGTGTGAGTGGAGCACGGTAATCGGTCGCAACTGATATTCGCTGGCAATTCCCTCATAGATCTATATGGCGATACCGCCGGACGGCGGCTTTGGCTGGGTGGTGCTGGTACTCAGCTTTCTCTCGCAGCTTATTGTGGATGGCATCGTTTTCTCCATTGGCATACTACTGCCGGCTATGGAGAAGGACTTCCAAGTGCACACCTCCGAGGTGGCCCTGTTGGCCAGCATACAAATTGGATGCTATTTCATGGGCGGCGCTTTCTCCAGTGCGCTGATCAACAGCTACGGCTTTCGACCGGTGGCTATGCTGGGCGTGGTCATCTCAGCGTTGGCCTTGACGGCAGCCAGCTTCAGTCCAAATTTGACTGTTATGATCATAGTCTACAGCGTCATTGGTAGGTATCGCGAGTGGTTCTATGGTCTAACACCCAACTACAAAGACCGCAGTCGCCGCAGGTGGACCCGGACTGAGCATGATATGGGTGAGCTCGCAGCTCATCATTGGCTTCTACTTTGAGCGGTATCGGGCACTGGCCAGCGGCTTCTCCTGCTCAGGCGCTGGTGCTGGCATTTTGATTTTCTCCATTACTAACAATTTACTGGAGCAACAAATCGGCTGGCGCAATACAGTTCGGTGCCAGGCCGTGTTCATTTTTCTTCTTTTCTTTGTGACGTTGGCCTATTTGGAGGTGAAGCCATCGCCAGTGGGCGTGGTTCATCGTTTTCCGGACTTGAGCTCCAGCTCATCTGAGTACTACGGCAATTTCTATGTGCACAATTTTCTAAGCGAAGACCTCTCCACGAGGAGATCCCATCCCGTGTTAGATACCTTCGAGCCAAACAAGAAAATGACCAAGCGAAAACGCTGTACGAACTTTATCTGTCCTTGTTGTGCCAAGCTTGATGATGACGCCAAGGCCGATAGTCCTGAAGTGAACTATGTGGTACGCCCAGATCCCATGCAGCGCGATGATCTCTTCTATACGGGACCCATTGATTACGACAAGCCGCATCACAGGGAGCAGTTTGATGGCAAGGAACTCGAGCTGGTTGGCACCGAAACACATGTAAGTGGACGACATCAGTGCCCTGAAAGGGATTTCAACACGTTCTCCTTTCAGCTGCAAAGTGCCGCCTATGGTCTACACAATATACACAATTATAACAGCACCAGCGAATCGTCTGAGTGGAATTCCGCTTCCGAAGGCCATATTGGAAGCCACCCGAACACTCACAGGTACCCCGCAAGCCCCATTTCTCTGCAACACAAGCGCTTTATTACTCGCAAGTCAAAGAATCGTTGCTGGATCCATCGGAAGATTATAAAGGCCATGAATCGTCTGTTCGATACGCATTTGCTGAAGAGCTTTGAGTTCCGAGTGCTACTGGCCTCCGCTTTCTTCTATCCCATGGGCTTCAATATACCCTTTCTGTATTCCAAGATGCGCACCACGATTCCCATAAAATATGCTCAGATGATTGGCCCAGCCATCGGCACCTCCAACTTGGTAATGCGCATTCTGTGCGGCTTTGTGGCCTATAAGCTGAGAAACTGGACAAACTACATCTGTGGCGGTGGCATGGTCCTAGGTGGCATGGTGGTCTTCATCAGTGCCTTCTTTGGCAGCGATTTGGTCTGGTTTCAACTCTTCTACGGGCTGTGCTATGGCGTTGCTCCAGGTATCATGCTTGGACTGAAACAGCTCAGAGCACACGTTTGGCATACTCCGTTCACAAGATAAAAGGTTTGACTGTCTAACAGGACTATTTGGCTATAAGCGAACAATCTCTGCAAACAGATCTTCGCTCATTGGCTAACAAGCAACAACCTTTGCTAGTCATAATATTCCTTTATTGACATTGATTTGGTCTTACCCACTTGACTGCAGCCAGTATACCCTTTTTGTAAGCTTGTGAACGGGGTATATCCAGACAGTCAGCAATCTTGCGGAACACATATTTTCCCCTCTCCTTGTCTGCTTTCAGCTGTCTATGCCACGCTGCGCGCCATCATCTATGTGCGGTACTTGGGCCTCTCGAGGCTGACGACGGCCTTTGGCATTACCAGCTTGGTCATGGGGGCAGGCGTGTTCCTAGGCACATCTCTGGGTGGCGTTATGGTGGAAAAAACAGGCGGTTTCATGGCGGCGTTTATATTTTCCGGCTTATGCATAATACTGTCCGGAATGCTGAAGCTGATTTTGCCGCTGCTGATCAAATACCGAAACAAGCGGTTTAAGAAAAATACGGGCTTTGTTTGAAGTACAGTTTACGATGCATTAGTTTTATTAGTTATTGTTGTTGCTTCTGTTCTTATACCTTGTTGTATTTTACAAAATATTTTATGCACTTGCACTATTTGCTTGTTATTCCTGCCTTTGCATTTCTTTACACTTTTTATGTCTGTTTAATGTCTAAATGGATTTATTTTACATTTTATTGGCTGCTTAAGGTGTGCGAGCTGCTTGGGCTTTTGTTACTGAACTCAATCGGAATAACTTTTACTTTACATCTTATGGACTGGCTCTAGCTATGCTTCTCAAACTGTTTGGCTATCAGCTCTCAGTTATTTCTGTTTTGCTAAAGACATTTCCAGCTCGAACTCGCACGCGCAATGCCTGCTGTGTGTCTCTCGAACCGCTTAATTAAGATCAGAAATTCATATAGCTATCAAAGTGTTGACCATTTTACATTCAAATTGTGTTGCTTTCAAACTGTTCCAAGGGCTTTCAAACTATTTGTATCTGAACTTGAGCTTAAATTATTTCATATTACCTACGCTGGGCTGCTCAAACGCTCAAACGCTCAATCAATTAATGCGACTGTCAAACGTTACTTTTATTTTGGTCTCTAAGCGCCTGTTAAACTGTTTTTTCTTTTTAATAAATGAGTTGTAATGTCTCTTCTTACAGTGTTTGTTCTTTTTATGTTTTGTCGTGGCTCTCAAACTGTTATGTTCTCCTCACAGTTCTGGAAACTAGATTTTCATCGACTGCAGTTGTTTTTCTTTGACTTTTATTGTATTCTGTTAAAGTTTAATTAACTTAGTTTACATCTAATGTTAGCTTAATTGCTGTGCACACACACACACAGAGTGTGTGTTTGTATGTTGTTTTTGGTTTTTATTTTTACCTTGTTTGGTTACGCAAATGTTCACGCTTTGTTTTGGGTTTTTGTGTTTTTGTTTGGTTTGATTTTTAGTCAATATACTTTGATATGCGAGGGCGGTTTAATAAAAAGCCAAAGATATCGGTTACAAAACGCCTTAAATGAAGAACTAATTTTACATTAATTGTTTTTATTATAAATATTTTGTTAATATTTACTAAGCCGCTCTCGCATCTTCGCTTCGAATCTTTAATTTGTACGTCTACTATAAAGATTTTCTTTCATTTTTTTTTTGGTTTTTGCTTTTTTCTATATGTATATATATATGTTATATATATATATATATATATATTTATATATGACACATATTTTGAAAGATTTGCTTGATTTGTTTATACATTAAAATTAGCTTAAGCAACTCAATTAAAGAACTTAACGACAATTTATTGAGAATTTATTTTTCTTATTAATTTTCTTTCGTGTAAGCCAAATGTGTGAGAGTTTTCTTGCTTCATTTGTTTTCTTTAAATCCTTTTTGTTTTAATATTGTCAGTAGTCTTCGGTTTCATATGCAATTTCATGATTTTCCTTTTCATTATTTCTCCGTTTATATCTATATATGTCGAAAATGTTACTGTCTTCATTTGCGTGCACTTTTAAAATCAATTTTCAATTTCGTATCGTAATCTAAATTTAAATTAAAATCGCTCAGCAGTTGTTGGGGTTGTGTCTCTGCCTCTCTCTGGTCTCTGGTCTCTGGTCTCTGCCTTCCACTTTCCATCTCCCTCTTGACTGTTGTCCACAAAAAGCAATTCTTACGCCTTAAATTAAAATTATATTTCTATGGCCTGTGCTGGAGCAGAGCGCGTTCATGTGTCTGAGTCGGACCTGCAGTCATTATTGAAGAAATTAAATGCATATTTGAACACAATTGAGTACATTGGGCATTGAGGGCGGAGTGAGTGGACAGGGGCCTAGGTGAAAGGAGGCGAGGTGGGGGATTGTTCGGCACTTACCAATTAAAATAGCTCTGCGGCCCGTGACAGTTGCGCTCGGTGCCACACCATTTGGACTGCTGGAGCGCCGGGCAGGGCCGGCCCCCGCGCTTGCCATGCTTGATGACTTTGCGATATCGATGCATCTCGCCAATGCCGCAGCTCTTGCTGCAGGCCGTCCACTCGGACCAGTGGCTCACGCGGCAGTCGCGACGCCGCTTCGACGCCGCCAATGAAGCGCGACGTCGAGTCGAGCCAGTTACGGAGCCTGATGCAGCGCCTGAGCCTATGCGTGCTGTTGTGCCCGACCCAGCAGAGGCGGCCGAGGCTGCAACCTTTGCCGGGTAGCTAGTCATGTTTTTGTTGGCCGCATCGTTGCGTCTGTAACTGCTCGCAATGCTCTGCAGCAGTGCATGCTTATCATTTTTGGGCACCACATTGACCACGCCCGACTGTTGACTGTTGTTGTAGCTGTGGGTGCGAGAGAGAAGACACAAACGGATTGCAAATTAATTAAATTGAATATACATAAAATCGCTATTTAAGATAATATATGTAATAATTTCGATTTAATTACTAACAAGTCTTAGTACACGTAAGGCAATTGAGCTTATTACTAGAATCAGCATCAGATCAGAAAGTTTTATGAAGGCTTTCGACGTGGTAAGCCTGAATTTGATATTAAATAATAAAAAGAATGCTTTAAAAAATATAACTTTAGTTTCAGTTCGGAGTCTTACCCTTTAAACAAAATATTTAATTATTGTTTAATATATTAACTATTTGAGGTCAATGATATACAGTCTACCAGGCACACTGTATACAGTAGAATCGGGTATTCCTTGACATCATGAGACGTGTCTAAGTCTAAGTGTTATTTTTGGATGCTTTTCAGACGCACTGAGCGAGCACAAATTGCGCATAAAATAACATTTACTTGGCACAGTTTGATGCGCTCGTCTAACGGTAATTGCCATAAATATGATCAGCGCAAATTGTTGCTAATAACACACTCCCGCACACACACACATGCACACACGTGTGCAGATACGCTGTGTGCGCTGTGCGGGACAAATTCTTGACTCTGGCGGAGAAAAAAGTAATGTTTGTAATTTCAATTTGGGGAATTTTCTTCATTACTTTTCCCAGGCAGTCGACAGTCGGAAGGCAGCTGGGGCCTTTGGCGACAGTGTTTTCGACGCTTTTCCACAGTTTTCTTCGCTGTCGCTTTTGAGGCTTTTAAGTCTGCCGACTCGTTTGGACTCTTTAGTCTTGCGCTACACGTTTTCAATATTTTCGCCAATTTACTTGGCATTTTTGCGGGCCCGACCAAAAGGCCCCCACCTGCTCTTTTGATTTCTTTTTTCATTATTATTTGCGCGATTTTGCACGGCATGCACGCGGCATGTGTATGCAAATAAACGAAAAGTGCAGGAAACAAAACACGGAAGCCGAACAGGAAGGAAGGAAGGAAGGAAACTGACGGCGGCACAGCAAACGTTGCCTTGCCTTTCGCTGCCCTGACCTGTCCCGTTCCGTTTCGTTCCGCTCCGCTCAAAGGCGTCTGCCTCGCTCCACGCAACAGACACACAACACAGCGGGCGAACTGCAAAAGGCAAATTTAAATTGAAATTGTCTACAGCTGACGTGCTGAAATAAGAAACGCGCACAGCGCAAAACACCTTGCAACAACATGGCGTATACGTAATCTCTCTGTGATGTGTAATTCTCGCTGTGGGCGGGCGTGTGTGCATTAACGCGTAAGCTAACACAGCCTTATATATTCTGAGCTACTTAACGCAATCATAAAAGCAATTCAATCGATTTACAAGCAAATTCTTAATCTAAGCCAAAATGCTTCATACATTTTTGGAATTTGTCAATGCCAATTTAAATAATATAATATTAAAGGAGTTTTAGTAAGGGTATGAATAAAAAAAACCTAAAATAATTTGCTGTTGACAGTCGATATATATCTTAGAGCGGAAATTCCTATAACAGTGCCCAGATAACATTCTGTTAATATTTCTACTTCAGTTACGTCCTCAGCTCTCTGACCTATTTGAGGCTTCTTCTATGCAAACTATGCATATAAAAAAGCATAAATGCTTTTATCTTTTAATAACTTGTAATCCGATTTCGCCAGCTGCGAGTTTAACATATGTGATCACAGTTTATGATCTATCACCTTTATAGTTTACAGCGAGTCAATTAGCTGCAAGCCCTCTGAGACCACAGTTCACTGAAATAGGCAGTGCTTTGGGCGATATCTTTTTAAGTTTAGATACCTTTTCCATAGCAACAACGAAAGTGCGCTCCAAAAACTTAATTTATTCACATTCGTAAGATAAGGATATAGATATAGAACACATATAACAGAGAGGGATATAGAGATACATATATATTCACACACGCAAAACGTAACTAAGTCTATATTATGATACAACAACAAACTTCCGGCTGGGTGTAGACCGTGGCTGTGGGTCTTGGTGGTGCGTAGGTCTCCACAACAACTGGAGGTGGTCGTGGTGCAGCACCCACAACAATTGGAGGTGCGCCAATAACGACAGGTGGCGGAGCGAAGCCAATGCCCACGCCTATGGGCGGGGGCCGAGCGCCAATGTTGACATCCACATTAACATTTGTGCGGCCGGGTGGCGGCGGTCCAGGCCGAAAGCCGGGCCCGGGCGGCGGGCAGTGCACTGGGCCGGGCCCATAACCGCGTCCTGGTGGTGGCATCGCACAGATCCTCGAATGTAGTTCCGCGGCCGTTGACTGACCGTTGACTGAATGCCGTCAAGTGTTTTTATCGCAATGGTCATTCGCTGTGAAGATACCCCTGAGTGGACAGACTAATTAATTATCAATTACGCTTTGCCAGCGACGGTGATTTTGTTGCCCCGCCGATTAGATAAGTGTGCGGTGGCAGCGGCTTAACTTCACATGCTGCTGATAAGACTGCTTTGTCATCGATAAGCGATGACTATGTGGCCACAGCGGAAGGAATGTGACCAAAAATAAGCAACTAAAAAAAACATTTTGAATACTAAATCGAGAACTGAAACAATCTTTTTCAGAGATTTTTTGACAGAGCCTACTAGAAGCTTATGACTTAACAGAAGAATGTTCTGCAATCCTAACAGAGCTATGACTGTTAGTTTACAGCGGAAGGCAGCAGCAAGTCTTATAACATTTTAACTAACTTGAAAGTTGAAAGTCAACGTTGAGTAAGTATCGATGGCTCGGAAAGCCTGACTACATTATGATGTATTAACAGTTGCTTATTATGTTTTAAATTAGTGAATAATATAACATAATATATAATAATATAATAATATATAATATAATATTCATTTCTTCTTTGACGACTTTCTCATTGTTTTACAGACTTAAGCCAGCCAAACTCTTCAGATTACCATTTAAAGAACTTCAAAGATGTTGCTAAGCAGTTGCTGCTTAGATTATGAGGCTCCAATGTAAACAATAAACTGGGGTACACATTAAATGTCTTCCTCCCCCTTTATTTAAAAGATTCTACAAGGGTTAAGTGAGCTTTTATTTGCACTAATTTATGGCTTTGCAGTTTTAAGTTTAATCTCCTAGCAAATAACGCAGCAGCAACGCTTCTTTACTGCCTGCGAGACTGCCCCACTAGAGTCCGTACTGACTCTGTAGGTTTTCCTGCGTGTATCGTTGTTGTCCACAGATATTGCACCTACGAGCAGCATGGGTGGTGCTGCTGGTGGTGCAGCCTGAGACATTGGCCTCACTGTAATAATCTCCATTTGACTGACAGCAGCTCTTGACGGACTGGCTGCTGCTGGAGTAACTGGCGCTGGTGGTGGCGTGGCTGTTGCTGTTGGTTGCATGCTGACTACTGCCGATCTCTGCACCACCCACCCGGAGCTGTTGATTGCGGATGGTGTCTGCTGCGGCTGCTGCTGAACTGGTTTGGGCGCTGGTTGCTGTGCTGGCAGCCTTACAGCTTGCTCGGTGGTTGCAGGTGGTGGTGCCAGTGCAGACTGTTGCAGTTGGGCCTCAATTATGCGCGCTGTTTGCCTTACATTACCCTGCGACGATGCAATGTCTGGTTCTACCTGAAGTGGTTGACTGCACGTGGAGCTGGTGGGTGAGGGTGGTGCCTGAACTACAGGTGGATTCAGCCGTACGGTCGATGCCCTTGAGTGTTGTGGCGAAGCATCCAAGTCTGTTAGCCATTGTATTTGTTCCACTTCGTCGGTGGGCGTTAGATATGGCGGCGAGCTATCTGGCAGTGGTGGTGGCAAGCTTAACGGTGGTTCAGCTTGCTTATGCTTATGATGATGATGATGATGCTTATGTTGCTGTTGCTCTTCTAGCTGCTTATTTTCCATAACATCCAACTCATCGGTGACATCAGTTATAGTTAAAGTTGTGACCTCCTCCTCCGCTCGATGATGATGATGATGATGCTTGTGGTGACGATGCTGATGATTGTGTTCGCGTACCACTGGCGTTGCCGTCGTTTCGATTGTGGTTGTATCTATTGATTCTGTTACTGCTGCACCACTTATAGTTTCTGTGCTAACTTCTTCAATTCTCATGGTTGTTCTTGTTGTTGTTGTTGTATTTTCCATTGTAGTATTTGCACTCGCGGTCCGTTGTCCGATGGGTGTTCTTTGTGTTCGCTAACTAAAAGTCTACAGTCCCGACCCCGTCAATTTATAGTCTAATGTTTATGTCATAGCAAATGTATTTTTATGCCACAAATCCATACATTTAACTGATAAGATAGTTGCCAAAACTAACTTTTTAGTACCTTCAACTTTTTTCTGCTGGGTTAATACAGTTTTCTAGCTAAATTTGTCTCTTAACTTTAAACACTTTAATCACTGTCTCTTTTAGCTGCCACCAAAACAAAGTTCCTTTGATCTAAGTTTGTATATTTATTTATATATTCTTGAATTTTGTTATTGACTTACAAATAAACTGAATCTTAACATAATACAAATGGGATTATTTGCAATGATTTTTAGCTTTTATTTTATAGGAAATGTAGATCAAACTTTAGCATTCAGATCTATCTTTCATATACAAATTGATTTGATTTGATTTGGCTTGATATTTAAATTTATTCTTATAAAAATATTGGGTTGAAATTAGTTTAGCCTCGTCTTTACAAGAGTATTTAATCGTCGGCTTATTTAATTGGATTTTTTGTTTCTTTTTGTTAATTTTTAGCTTATTTGGCAACTATTTGATTTGGCATTTGTCTCTGGCTCCTGTTGTGGCGCTTGCTGTGGGGATAACTTCTCTCCAACTTTACCTTCCGCCTTGTTGGCTTGCTGCTGCTGCTGTAGATTAAGCTCTGTAAATTGCATTCAGCTTGGATATGACTTCCATTTGTATACCTATACTATATATTTAGATCGGGTGTCTGGCTTACTGTTGCTCTTCTGTTGTTTTTGGCGTTGTCGTTGTGCATTGTTTGCACTCGCTCCGATTATCACAAGTGTCGTCGGTGGTATAGACATGTTTAGTATTTGTCTGGCTGATGTTTTGGTGTGGACGCGGCTGACGCTACTGTTGCCATTAGCAGGCACTTGCACCACTTTTATTAGTCGCATAAGGCAGAGGCTTCGCCGTCTGATAAGATATTAATAGATACTTCATACCTGTCCACAGGCTTGTTTCCTATGCTCTGCTTACTAAAATACTGTAATTGATAGCCCAATGACGTCATGTGCTTTGGGCAGTTGCAGAGAATGTAGAACATATTCTTCAGAATATTCGCTCGATTGACAAAATTGATGAAATTATAGATAAGTGTACAATAAACACAATTTGTATTCTATTGTGGACTAATACCAATTATATTTATAGTTTCTGTCTACGCTTATCTATGTTCTCTTCAAGCAATCTATTGTTATATTCTACCTCTTGTTATTGAAGCGATATCAAATATCTAGTTCCGGCTTTTTCAAATATAAAATAAATTATTTATAGGCAAAAGCAATTCATTTCACTAGGAATTTGTGTGCTTTATCTATGGCTTCTCTCGTTAAATTTTAGTTTTATTTCACTTATTTTCTATGAAAATAGTTGCTTAAATATATTAGATTAAGCTTAGTTCATTTAAATTGCTATTTGATTCTTCTTTCATTTAAATATTTTACAGTTTACTTCACTAGATTTCGTTTTCAATGCTGGCTTAATATCTAGAACTCCATAGTCGTGCCCTTCTCTGGCTTTATGTCTCCCTTATCTTGGCTCTTCGGATGCCTTTACATCAGTTTTGATCTGTCTTATTAATATATTACTATATAGCACAGCTCCACAATTTCTTAGCTTCTGTTCCGTATTCCTTGTTTTTCTCTAGCTCAGACTTAATCAGGTTGGCCACTATAAATTTTCGTCTACTTTCTTTTGCTTACTTAACATTTTCTTCTTTTCTTCTTCTGCATTTTCCGTACTTTGCTCTCCTTTTCCCTGTCTTTGAAACAGTTTCTTGTACCACTTCTTATGTTTTTTCGTCGCTGCTGTGTCCACACCTTTATTGCATTTTTCTGTTAGCTGCTGCTTTGGGGTTTGTTCAGCTGCTAATTTGATATGACTTTAATAATTGAATATAGTTTTTCTTGCAAGTTTTAAGCTCACTTTTCATCTGCTGCATCTCGCGCGTATATTGGCGTTGCGGCAGCACTTGCAGCTGCTGTTGATGCTGCCGCATGTTGCATGCGCTGTTCATAGCAATGAGCATAGTAGTGCCTGCTATTGCGTACATGCTGTTGCCGTTAAGTGTTGGGTCGAGTGTGTGCTGTGGGTGGCTTTTGAGTGCTTCGGCTTTTATAGACAGACGCAGAAGCGGAGGCGCGCGCGCTCTGGCATTGATAAGATTGCGAGTAATTACACTGTCCGAGCAGGTTTTGGCGCTTGGCATTGCTTTGGTTGCTTTGGCGCTGTTGGCACTTTTGTCAGCTTGCCAATTGCTGTTGAAGCCAGGCCACGCCCACGCATGGCCAACGGCACTTTAGCCAGCTGGCACTCAAACACGTACGCAGTCGCCCTCCCACTCTCCGGCCAGCCCTTGCGACGCCTGCTGCTTAGCTCCAGCTTCGGCTTGTCATTAAATATGCAGGTTAGCAGTGCCAATGGTGCCAAAAATCCACTCGAGTTGCACGATGCTCGGTGGGCGTGGCACACTGGATTAGTTGTCGTTTGCGTTTCGCATCCTGCACGTCGAGGACACTGTTGTCTATGTCGCGTTCAAATTCACTCTTAAGTTTTTCTAGCACATTTCTATACCCTATAGCCGTGGCGAAGGCCTGAAAGGTGTATAAGGCACTTGCCCAAGACAAGAAGCTAATGAGGTCAATAAGCTAAGGAGGGCATTCCAATCATTTCTTGTATTTCTTATCATTGGACCTCAATTTAACTAATATTAGCTTTGATTTCCTGTTGCTAATTCGTGTCAAATAAAATATTTCTAAAGTAAATATATTACTATATTTCAATAAACGTCTTCTCGGCTTAACATTTATAATCTCATATTATTGCTGATCCCAAGGCGTATGGCTGAATGGCCACAGCACAGCAAATGGCCGCAGCAGCCAGGGTGATTTGAGGCTGCTTTATCGCAACGTCGGCACTCAGAATTCACTCAGAAGACTTTCAAGACTCATTCATCAAATTCAGAATGGAATAATTCTTAATTGTTGTTAATCGACCAACAAAGTGAGAAATTTATCAAACAGATGTTAGAGCGGATATCCACTGCTTGAAATGAATTTACTTCTACAAAGATCTTCTCCTGGAGTAAATCGAGTATCGATAGTGATGCATGAGTTCGTAGCGAGTGTAGAGTATTCTTAAGTCAGTCCTCCCTTACTCTCGCACTTTCTTTGTCTTCTTTTGCTGCTGCTTCGGTGTTGGGGCAAGCTTTTTTTAAAGTTGCAACATTAGCCCAGCTACGTGCCACGATCTCAGGCAGTATCTTGGGCCGCACACAAACGCGCCTCAGCACTCAACTTCCAACCTTCCTGCTGTGGAGTAGTGTAATGTGCTTTGAAGTGTGCTAGTCTGCTGAGGAGCAGCTTTTGTTTGTTGCTGTTGTTGTTGCTATCGCTATTGGCAGCTGCTTTAAATGTGTTGCAAGCAGTTCTCCACGTCGCAGACAAACACCTGACGCATATGTTAAGTATGCCAAATTGATGTTTAGCTCGCATTGGCAAGGATATGCAGATGGATTCAGCGTTTCAGACTGCATTGCGCCCTCCACATTGAAGAAGCTTACGGCGCTATGCATATGCACATATCTAGATATCTCTCTTTATACGTGTACAGCTTACAATTGAAGCACTGTCAAAAAGGCTAACCAATCGACTTTTACTTAACTCCTCAATCACGCATACGCCTAGTAGGCTATTTTTGGTTCTTATCGCGTCTGCTAATAAATCACTCATCTATTTTTAGTTTTATTGTAATTATTTAGCATTTATGGTCAGCTTAGTTCTATATATACATTTTGACGTCAATTATATTTAGCCCTAGCATTAAACTCAATTGCTATTGATTGCTGCTTGAAAGAGTTCATTAAAGCTAATTACACATATTTATATGAGAACAAAGCTATTTCGAAGGCAGCAAGTGAAATTATTAATGTATATGCTGCTGGCAAATATGGAGTAGACTTATAGATTTGTAAAATATATAAAAATCAAATATACCAAATATACAATAAATTCCTTTCGTCTACTCACTTGGGATTCATTTTGGCCAGCAGCTGCGAACGAATGCGTTGCCTCTCATCAGTAAACGGTGTCTGCAACTCCCAGTCCCTGTCCCTCTGCCTCTCGCGTTCGATGCTAGCTGAGAGCTCGTTGTTCATCTCCACGTGATTGTGCTCGGCGTCCAGGTGGGTTTGTGTCTGAACTGTTTCATATTTGCGATCGTCCTCGGCAATGTTGAATACTTCGCTTAGTTCGTACTCCTTTAGCTGCAGGAATGGAAAATAGCCGAATTTCAGACTGGGCAAAGCAAATGTTAAACACACACACACAGGCACACATGCACATGTGTGTGTGTAGCATATTAATTTACGCGGATTATGTGCCCGGCATAAGCAAGGCAAATGCTTCCAGCTAAATACAAAGCAGGTGCATGAGTATATCCATGTGTGAGTGTTTGTTTGTGTGTGTGAGTACAGGTGCAGCTAACGCGCTGCTAATTTCAATTTGTGGCAAATATTGACACAGACACAGCACAGAATAGTACTCTGTGGCAGGTGCGCCCAGTGAGGACAAAGAGGTAGCGCGAGGCAGCTCCGGCTGTAGGGTCTATGACAGCGACTAGCACAGGGGAAGCGAAAAAAAACTTTTGCTGGCGCATGGCGCGCTGTCGCGCATTTTAATTTATTTGTTTGGGCTGCTGTCATTTTCTATATAGCAGCGCTTGGCATTGTTATTGCCACATTGTTGTTGCTGGGCTCCCTGCTTTTGCCACAGTTTTTGGGCCAGCAGCTTATCAGGGGCTACCTTTTGCAAATGCGTCGACAGCGACGGCTGCGGCATTAGAATACAGACACACACACACACACTCACACATGTATATAGACATAATCCGCACACTGTGAAATTCCTTGTGGATTACAAAAACAGACCCAGATCCAAATCCAGCTCTCAGCTTTCACAGTCGCTGTCGCAGTCCCAGTCTCAGTCTCGCCTCTCACACACACATTCCATTCCAATCCGAGATTTCATGCTCTTTTCGGCATGCGGCAAATAGCGCTCAGAGCATTTCTGGCATTCACTTAAGCATATCACAAAATTTAAGAATTTAATGCCCAACCAAATCAACACATAATTATACAGAACGGCGGGCAGCTGGCTTCAGGCAAAACTAGTGCTTGGCCCGGTCCACACATGTCTTGGCCATAAAATGAAGCAGACGCACATTTCGCCTAAGTAAATAACTTTCCATTTCGTTAGCCATAAACAAAAGTAGACAAGAATAAGCTGAATAAATGTCAGCATGCCCTTAACAACGACCGTTGCATACCCTTTCATGTTGGCCAACTTCTTGAAACTGCATATTAATAAAAAGTAGTAAGATACTCATAAAAAATAATTAAATCGTTTGCTCTATTAGTTATATTCTGACTAAATAATAAATGTCATAAAAAATAAACTTTTATTGAAAATCCTATACTCATATCACATAACTAATAGCTAATAAATATATAACATAATTATATACATACAACAGATACAACATATATAAGCAGATACATGTGAATGTTTAGTAAAAGTTGTAAGATTTTAAAATACTAATTTCTGATTTGAATCTAAACAGCTTATAGTTTTATTTATGTTAAGCAATAATTAAAATATATTAATTTTTTGAAATAATTTCAAAGAATTTTAAGCGCCCATATCCATTGTAAAAGCTATGCCATAGTGCATATATCCTGTATAAGGGTAAACAAAGGAGTACACACTTTTAGGGCTTTCAGTTCTTCCCGCAAGTGCCACGCCTCCAAGCATAGAAAATAAAACTAGAATTAGTAGTGTCAAAAAGGCGTTACAATAGCAACGACAACAACAACAACAACAACAACAAGAAACTCCCCACAAGAACAAGGCTCTGGCCAACTGACGCTGAAGCTGGCCAACAAATAAAGAATAATGACCGCACGTACTGTGTAAGTGCCACGCCCACACCTAAAGCTGAAACTATGCAAACGTAGTCGAAACATCTGCCAGCCGAGGACTGGGCGTAAATTTTATGTGCGGCCGAGAGACGCACATAAAAGCAATTTTGATGAGCGCCAAAGACTGCAGCCCCCATCCGTTGAAGGCAACAGAGGAAGGGGGTTGCTCTGAGGGGCGAGTGGCAAGTTACTATGTACAGTGTGCTTTATGCATTGTGGAAGTGTAAGTGCCGCACTTTCTGAACAACGTGCGTCCAGCAATATAATTACAATGCCTGAATAGCCCCCTGCTTTGTGTGTGTGTGTGTGTGGGTGTAGGCGCTTATACTGCTGGAAAGACCCCCATAACAAATTTAGCATTCGGACTGTGCTGAAATGCTGCACGTTCAGGTTTCACGATTTGTGGCAACTAATGGATTGACGCTTATTAAGGCCAATGGCAGTGGAGCCCATGGAAATGCGGTCCTTGCTTGGGGGCCAATCGAAATCGTGGCCAAATGTAACTAAATAATGTTATGGCGATTTATATATAATTTATCGAATTCAAGTATTGCCTTAATTGACGCGCACTACGGGGACTGCATTTATATTCGATCTGTGACAGAAGCCTGCGTTTGGTTAAATTCTATGAAATTGATTGGGGACTATGGGAACTATTTACAGTTATAAGCAGTACTTGGGGCAACTCAGTGGAAGTTCTTTTACGACACTAAATACGCTGATATTTAGGGGAAGCTCATAGCTTAGGAATTCTTGGCTCAATATTTATATCTGAATTTTAATAAATCTCTTCTGTAAGCCAGTTCCTTTTCCGTTTTGCAGCTCTATATTTCAAAGATATAGATCTAAGTGAGTCTATATATATTATAACTCATGATATATGTACTCACTATATTTGTCTATTTATTTTCTGAGTCTATAATGAAGTAGAGATATTCTTAAAATTTTTGATACTTATTTAACTATGTTTTAATATTTCATAGAGATTTAATATTTGAGCTATTATAGCTTAAAACTCTGGACGCTGATCGCTTAACATAAATGTCTAGCTAACACGCCGAATCAAGGCCATAAAATTCACAGCTTTACAACATATCATTTAAATGAAATTAACACAATTTTTTTTGCTCAACAAATTCTTTTTGCTCGCGTTTTTTGTTCCGCCCGCTTAGCGCCAGCTGCGTGGCGAAGGCAGCTGATTTATAAAGCGCATTAGCACGCAGCCACAGGAATACGCTCTGGTCCCTCGGAACACACCCGCAAACATCCACATCCACACCCACACGCATACACACACGCAACGCCATTACACATGTTTGACGCCATTGTAATGCTAATGGCTCATTAGCACTTTGATTTTTTGTTTGGTTGGGGTTGGGGGACGGGGGCCGGCGAAGGACGCACATGAAAAGTCATTATGGCCGTAAACGGGGGCAACATTTTGACTGCTAATTTGCAGTTAATTAAGTTGTTTAAGCTTTTTTCAAGAGTCCTCTTCTTACCTTGATAAACTGGAACGTGGCAATGGGCGGCAAGCGCTTGCTCTTCGGATAGTAAAAGCTGCCAGCCGGATGGGCTGGATATCGTGAGGTGATGCGATAGATGACGCCCTGCGGCGCTGTCGGCCAGTTGGGTGCGGTAAAGGTGAAGCCGTTGTCGGTGCCGGCATCAAGTGGATCCAGCTCCACGGTCACCGTATCAATCCAAGAGCCACCCACACAAAGCTGCCCAGAGAAAAATGGATAATGTTGGGTCAAGTGCAATGGAATTGATTTGTGAAGACTCACCTCAAACGAGTCCACGCCAATAAACCAGTCCGGCGAGGGCACAACGCGCGTCATTAGCGATACCAAACTGTGATTGCTGTCCACAAACACCTTCGCTTCGCTGCGTCCCGCTCCCAGCTGAATGGCCGGCAGGCTAAACTCGTCAAATACGCTGCGCTCGGACATTGTGGGAGCAGATCCTTCTCCCACTCCTACTCCCACTCCAGCGCCGGCTGCTGCTGAGGTTTTCTGTGCCTGCATCTGTTGCTGCTGCTGTTCACCGGCATTGCTGTCCAGTAGCTCCGTTTTGCCCGTCTCGGCGAACTGTTTAACGCCTGCCGTTGCCGGCTGTCCGATGTGGTAAAGCGCATAGTTGGCATTGTGTGTGCGACCTATGTGCGAGAGAGATGGAGAGAAAGAGTGTGAGTGTGTTGAAAGGTGTTGAGTCATTTACATTTAATGAGCTTTTGAAAAAAAAAGAAACAATTGCACCAAGTTGCGCAAACATTTGCATTGCAACCAACACGCGACACTCGGCACTCGAAACTGGGAACTCGACTCGCTGCCGTCAGCTGCTTTCATTTGCCGTCCGCTTAAATATCAGATTAAGTATACGCAGTGTGACACGAATTGCCCTCGCAGCTCCACCAGAGCTATGCTCATGTGTGTACGTTAAAGTAAGTCATTAGTAGGTGGCTTAAGCTGCTGAGTCTTACAATTTTGGAAACATTATTTCTAGAATTTATAATTTAAGGTGAATAGAGATCAAATAGATAATAGGTTCTACAGCCAGCAAATCTAACTAAACAAGATTTTTCTATTGAATAACCTTTTAAATATATCCCAAAAATCAGGCTCTGTTTAAGTTTTAAATAAAGGAGGCGAGACAAAACGCAAAAAGAAAATAGAGAACTGAGCCTACTGCTTTAGCCGGAGACTGATTGAGACATTGCTATAGGTAAACAGAAACAAGTAATGTGTGAAGAAATATTGAATACATAATATTAGAGCATATCTAAAATAGGGCTAGAAATGCTTCCATTTTTATACGAATATATCCCGCACTCAAAGTATTTAAAACAAAGAGCAAAGTTAGAAAAAAATAAAAAAAAAAATGCAAATTATCAAAGAATAAAAGAGCCTTTGGTAATCAAAGCATTTTGTAATTGTGAGCGTAATATAAAATATAGCCAGGTGTTAATTCGCCAATAAAATGCTCGAGAAACTCAGTCGAAACAGTTCTGCCTGCAGAATTCTAAAGAAACCAGGCAAAGTTTCGCATTGAAATATATTATTGGCCATTTTTTGCAGTCCGAGATGAATGTCAAAGTTATAAAATGCACAAATGCTTATTCTCAATTCCTTTGGCAATTCTTGGCATTGCTCGTGCTGGCAAACAAAAACTTTAGCCGTGCTCTACTTAATTAGGGCCATAAAAAACGCCTTATACTTATAAGCCGTCAACATCTTTCAATCTCAATTGCTTTCATGGCAACAGGAATCCATGGGCAAAGTTTCCAAGCAGAGTCAAAGCCAATTCCGAAGTCCACGCAAAGCGCCATTTGCAATTATTGGCAAGCGACCCAAAAGTATGCAACAAACTTGTCAATTACACAAAGTGCAGGGCAAATAAACAAAAATAAGTAAAAAGGGAAAAATGAAAAAAACTGAAGCATAAATAATAATATTGCATTTGACACAGTTTCCAAACAGCCAAACAGGTTGAACACCGCCCACCCCCACCGCCCTGAGCCCCACCCACAACCCTCTCTATTAGCTGGCGGCATTGCATAAAAGCGCAAAAGTTGAAAAGGCAAAAATATGCTTTGTAGTTGGGGCTTTCATTAGCCAAGAGCGCTGTCAAACACAAAAAAAACTTGTAAATTAAAAATAAGTAAGAACGAGGGAAAGGGAAAGAAAGGGGGCGAGGGAGGGAAAACAAAACTAATAAATAAGCTGACACACTGTGGGAGCCATTGAAAAGGCGAATGGCAAGGAAGAGAAAGCAAAGAAAATATCTCAAAAATACAGTGAAGCAAGACAAGTCAGCGAGATAAAAAAGAGACACGAAATGTGGCACAAGTGGCATGTTGCAATGTTAATTGAAGACAAATAAAAGCCTAGCGACAGCAGCTGGGAGAACCAGGAAGAGAAAGAGAAAGAGAGGGCGAAGGCGAGGGCGAGAGTATGAGGAAGGTGGGGCAAGAAAATGTAGATGAAAACAGACGGAAAACCGCAGCCAAGAGCAGCCGCTGCGCTGCGGTTATAACTTCAAAGGCGCTGCAGCGCATGTGACAAAGTGGGCGTGGCAGTCGGCTGCAGTGGCAGCAGCCACTGCGGCAGCGTGTGACAATTTCGTTGAGCCACTAAAAAACAAACAACAAAAATACAACGAAAAAAGACTGCGCTCTGCCTGAAGGCGAATTGGAGCGCAACATTTTAAATTACTTGTGGGCATGATTTTTCTTGCTTTTACAAAAGTAGACGAGAGAGAGAGAGAGAGCACGATATAGATAGTGAACGAGAGAGAGAATATGACGAAGCGAAATATAAGAGAACAAGGTCTGAGCATAAATTATTGAAAAGGTATAACAAGATTAAGTATCAGGTCTTATAGAAGCAGAAAGTGTACTGAAAATGTCTTTTAAAAATAATTGTTCAAGAAGTCACAAAAAAATGAAGTAAGAAGTGTTGGGCGTGTCTGACTGGAAGATGTCCTGAATCTTAACTGCTCTGTGTATTCATACAAAATATATAGCATTTATATATGTGTGTAGAAGTTCAAACTTGATGAAATTTTTTTAAAGACTTTTCAGTTTAAGACATCTGTAGAATTCAATGAGAATATTAACAAATAAAATAAGTAGTGAAAATTACATGTCCCTTTACATATTGTGTATATATGGCACTGAAATAACAATGACATATAAAGAATTATCTCAAATTTGTTGACTTATATATGAAGCCAACAATATTATCAAATGTAAACATAATTTCATTTTAGAGCCTGGAACTTTTGAAGTGAAACTAGCCTCAGCCGTACTTCTGCTACTTTATATGCAACAAACAGAACTGATCTATATTTGATTTCCGAAAAATCAACAGTTCATAAGAAGAGCATATTGCTATCAATAATAGAAGTCTTGGTTCTCAGCTTGTGGTAGTGCAAAATAATGACTGAAGATAAAACGTCAGCAATTAACAATAAATTGAGCTGAAAGGTTGTTTTTACTACTTGACTGTTTATGTATATAATTTACAAACATTTTTAAAAAGGATGTCGTTCAGTAAGGATGTGCATTAATTGATTCTTAAAACCCTTCACATTTTCCCCTTTCTTCTAGAACTTAACAACAAAAAAGCCATTGACTGGTAGTGCAGAGGCAGAATATCTTCGGCCTTCAAGCTTACTTTTGGCCGTTAAAGAATGTGGGTGAAAGATGTAAGTAACTGCTGTACAGCATATACTTCCTGTATTATTAGCCAGGCTTTATGCCGCAGCTTTAAAAAACGATTCACATCCGTTTGCCTTGCACTCGGATACGTTGGCTTGGCAGCCATTGTTTGAATATCTGAGAAATGTGGAACATTGTTCACAGTTGAAAATGAAGAGGATATATCAGAAAGCAGCGAAGAATGTCTGAATGTAAATGAAAAAGAAATAGAGAGAGAGAGGGAAAAAGAGACTGTAGAGGAGAATTAAGCATTTTAAAAGTCGGTAAGGCTTAATTATTAATTGAATTTAAACTTCATTTTACGTAAATGCACTGAGAAAGAGTGTTCCTGGGCTATAACAGCACTGCCATAAATTATCAAAATTAATAATAATAATAAATAAATCAAATTAATAATTAAATTTCTGCCTCTACAACACCTGGTATTATTATATTAATATATTAATTAATATATAGCTTCATTCTATCACATTATATCAACATCATTGCGCGGTAACAGATAATACAATATCAATAATATTATATTTTTTTTAAGTTTCATGCTTAACAATATTTCAAAATTATAAAGGTCATTAGGCCATGACAAATGCACATCTGTCACTTGGGCTGCGGCCTGGGCTCTGGCGGTTTCGGGTGCAGCTTATGGCTACTTTCGCTTTCTGGCCAATATGGGCAGCTCAATCAATTACGGAATGGTCATTGTGTTGCCCACAAAATAAGCATAATAAATTTGCAATTAAATGCTTAAATTGTGCAAATGGTTTGCCAATGCGGTAATGCTGATTGTGGTGCAGGCAGCGCTGCTCAAATGGTCCACGGTTAAATGACCAAAAGCGTAAGCACAAGAGAGAGGGAGAGAGAGAGGGATAGATAGATCTGTGCCGTCTGGGAAAGAGATAAATGCGCGCTGTAAAAGCAAACAATGAAAAAGCCAATGCGCGCGAGAGAAATAGGCCGACACAGACAGAGAAAGAGAGAGAGAGAGAGAGAGAGAGAGAGAGGAAAGGTCCAAAAGGACGTGAGTGTAATTAATGCTTAATTATGCACATTAAAAGCCAAAACCTGACACGGCGGCTGCTTCGTACACCGCTGGCCACGTAATAAATGCGCGCCACGTATGGCCCATAAATTACGCTTTGCTCGTCCCCCATTAAACTATATTGCGCATATGCCGCAACTGGCGTGGGTCGAACTGCCACGATAGCTGCAAAGCTATTTACAAATATCGAATCAAAACTCTGGACCTTATCATAATTGAAAATCGCCAACTGCAACACAATAAACAACAATATAAACTTGCCAAATTGACAAAAAACAAACAGAGAAGCCAAAAACAAAACCAAATAAATAAGCAAACTGTCGTAAAGTGCAATGTGGCACAGAGCCAACAGTTTCCCCATGGGCTGTTTTATAAATAATTAGACGATAACGCTAAGTTTCAACTCTGCAAAGTTTGGCGAAGTAAAGAAACATATGTTTCAATCAAGCTCAAGCAGAGAGGCACAGAGGGAGAAATATGAAATTTGTTAACATCGAAATATGAAACGATTCCATTTCAACTCAGTTAATGGAGAGAAGTATGGAGCTTTAGTTTAACAATCTTAAGCTCTAACGAATTTGTTAACTATCATAGCAAAGAGATAAGAGCTGTCGTTATTATTTGCAGACAGCATTTTGTATGCTATGTTAAATCGTTTCACTGTTATGTTAAATGTTAAGTTTGTGTTACTAATTGGCTGTCTCATTAGAACAGTTTTAATGAGAATTAAATATCAGCCTGAGCGGACAAAGAGAAATTGCCAATGCACAGAGAAATGTTTTTGCAGAATGCATTCGAGTAACAATGACAGAAAATAATAAACAAAATAAATGCAAAGGAATTTGAATTTTCTGAATAAACTGAACTTGCTGTGAGCGAGCCCACTGCCGTAGCAAGT